GCGTAGTGGTGCAAGTGGGGTCTACCAATATATTATAGGAAAGACAAAACAGTTACCTTAAAAATTGTAAGTTTAATTTTTACTTTACATAAATATTATATTACTGGTATACAGGGTAGTTCACCAGGTATGCCCACCCTATTATTTTTTTCTTCAATAATCCAGTTATTCAAAATCTGATTTTTTTATTTTTAAATATACTTAAAGACGATATTTTTAAAAAAAGACATAAGTTTGATTCACCCAAAGGACACCCATTTAGTAGTACAAAAAAAATTAAAAATTTCAAAAAATAGTCTTATAGCATAATATTTAAAAATTCGAAATATCAGAATTTGAATGAATTCACTGTCAAAGATAATGGGGGGGGGGGGGAGCTAATCACCTTGTATATATTATTGTGTTGGTCACATTTTAGTGATTATTATGTTGGCATCTAAAAATAACTGCAATTTTTTTTTAAATGGTGATATACTTGGACAGATGAAGGTAAGGTGGCAATGTCACAAATCATAAGGTAATTGTGGAGTGTGCGCAGTGGGAGTGTCATTCGATGAAAGCTTGGTGCCATGGACGCCACCGGCAGTGCGCGTTATCACTTCGATTCATTAGATAACAAAACAATAAAAAATTATTAATTCCGTGGCAATTCAATCCGTTCCAAATTCATATCCATTCCAATAAAATTAAAAATCACTGCCAGCTGAGATTTTTTTAAATGCTAAATCATGCAATATTGATATATAATTTATTACACAGTAGTACGTGCGCAGCCCATAACTAAAATGCGTCTCAGTGCGATCATACGTAGTTATTTAGCCATGATTATTTTACAATAATTAAGTCATGGAAGAGAAACATGCAATCCGCACTCCACGCTGTCAGCCGCCGCCGTTATTCAGCGTGCGGCCGAGGTCCGAGATAATATCATTGTTATTCGTTTTCACGTAGTGTTAGATGAACTATTTCACTGGTGCTTACGACCTGCATTCCCGGCGTCCGTTCCACTCGTTGTTTAACGTTAAACCATTACATTTTAGAGATTTGTCACGACATCCGTCGGTCAACGTTCGTGATCGTCTGTCCCCAGACAAAAAAAAAATCACAATCATCGGTGTTTTACTGTTGCTGCTGTTCCTCTCATCGTCGCAAACGCTGGGTAATTTTATTTTGTATTTCGTACATTCATACAGTCCGTCATCAAAATAAAAATTTCCACCGACCGTTCAACGTAAAACTTTTACAATGGAGAGTACTGCGGTCAACCGGAAAGGAGAAGAAACTGTCTTCGTTATTGACGGGGAGGATTTCTCCGATCTCATTGAAGAATTGGAAAAAAAACATAGAAATATAGAAACAGAGCCAGACCTCCACGGAATAAATTATTCTTATACTAGCAGTGATTCGGATGATGTTGAATGGATCAGTATAGAGGGAGGTGATGGTGACGAACACTATGGCGAAGAAACCAAAGATGTAAGCAATATTTTAATTCAATATTCTTCATTTTGTTTATTTTGTGCTTTTAGCACGGTTGTTGAGTATAGGTAGTGTGCGCTGTGCATTATTACATAATTATATTGTGTCCTTCAAATATTCTTTTCAAAAAACGGTATTCAACAACTTAATTCATACCAACGCTCTTGACACCAATATTTGAAAAAATTATATATTAACCTACCTACTTAATTAAAATTAATTTCCAAATATGGAAAGATATTTGAGATTTGGGTATTTTGAGAATTTTAAATTCGATAAACTCTATTTAGACTACCTATTCTGTAGGTAGTTACTAAAAAGAATTTTACATTACTTATTACTTATATATAAACCGAGGTATTGGCTGTTAATTATTATTAGGCAGACAATTTTATTATTATTATACAAAATACCATTTAACTATTTTACTGTGTTCGGATTAGCTCGAACAATAACGTAACTTATTATTTTCCCCGATTATTTTATTTACTAAATTCACAAAATTGTAATAAAATATTCGTTCAAACTTAAATTGTTTTCGGTTAAAAAAAAAAAAAACCATTTGAAAACCATAATAATTCTTTAACTATATTCGGTCCAGCGAGATAATGTGCTAATTCCGTGCGATTTACCAGTTCACGCTGCTATCAAAACCACTTCCCCCGTCGCAAGGTGTTGAGTGAGGTTGCGCAGAAGAACTGATTTTAGTCCAAACCGCTGCACATTCATTTGTTGTACTAAGAATAGTTTTAAATATAATATTTATCTGATTGTTATTCCATTTTAGCCTGCAGCTCCTGCAGAACCCATAGCACCTGTGCCCGTGGATGATAATGCTAATGATCCGCAGTGCATACCAAGCGGTATACGATTCCACGAGCACGATGACCGCGTGACATATTGTACAAAAAGCTCTGAAGGATCAGAAGCAGATAATGAATATGAAGAAGATTCAGAAGATGATTATGGCGTTTCTCAGTGAGTAGTGACTAAGAAATATAATTTTAGTCATGTATGTATGATATTAAATAAATAATACATTTTATTTAAATAATTTTTAGTAGGCGTCGTCGCCACCGCCGCCGGCACCGCATTAGCAGACCACATACGGGCATTAAAAAACACAAAATTCAGGGACTCCAGCATAGATACTACCGAAAACACCGATGTAGCAGTTGGGAATGGATGAACACTGTCATTAAAAATGTCTGGGGCATATCTAAGGTTGCTGGAACGGTACAATACTCCGAACCTTCTGTAACTACTGATGAACTGTAAAAATACTTATTTGTTCGTTTCGTGTTAGTTTAATAGTTGTTTTAATGTTTGTTTATCTATATCGTTGTATCATTATCAATAATCAATTAAAATACCAATACGCCATTAAAGGTAATACATTTTTTTTTTTTTTTTTTGATTACATATTATTACTGTATTTTAAATAAAAACGTATTGATTCATAATAATTACAACAACCTATATTCTGTACGTGTATAAGCCGTATGGTAAATATTCTTTTTCGTTTAAATGAGTAATTATGAATTAATTAAAATCTACTTTAGGTTTTCATAATGTCATGAAGTATTATTTGACATTATAAAAGTACTCTACAATAATTAACGATAAGCAGTAGTAATTATTAAATTTTGGAAATCGTGGACAAACAACTAAATCAAAAGAGTTTAAAAAAAAAATGTTTCTAATTTTACCTGAATTAGTTATAGTGATCTCTATAAGAACTATTGGTTTACAGTTAGTGTCAGTAGTTATATTTATTGGCTATGGACTGGTGCCAGACGCCATTCCAAGTCGGACATTTGAATACGACAAGACTATTGAAAGTGTCATATTTGGACACCGGTGTCGAAATGATGTCTATAAAAGTATAAAATAAATACAACTTGTGTCTGAACAGTGGCAGTGGTGTATTTAGGCAGGGGGTACACATTACCTTCCCATCGATCCAATATATAATATATTTCATAGCTACCATGGTGACATATTGTTCAATCATTATATTTGTATAATTTGTATAATATGATCTAAAAGTATAACTGATTATGTGACAAGATGTCATGATAAAAAATGTGAGATTAGTTATAGCTGTATATAATTGTTTGTGAACCTCTACACCCATTTGATCATTCTAAATACACCCCTGAACAAAGCCTTAAGAATACATCACGAATACATGACAAGTGTCTAAACAGTGCCTTATAAAAAAATACAGGACAATAATGTCTATAGACATAATATGTATGATATATATACACCACAATAATGAATCGTAAAAAATAAATCGTGATAAGTTAATTAGGTATTTTTGCAATGAATAAAATAAAATAAAATCATATATTTTTTTTATTACACAAATATTTGCTTATTGTAATTTATATGTGATAAAGTAAAAAAATTAAAATAATACATTTATGACAATTGTTGGATTTTACAATTATATCATAATAACAATATTGTATTCAGGCACCATGTTGGGTATTTAAAATGCACAATAATATATTATATCATGATGCCGTAGTACCTTTACATTTTGTGTATCTCATGTTACATTTGACAAACATATAATACAATAAATTACAATGTACTAAATATTATTGCACCTTATAGAAACTTTATAAATGTATTTAAATGAGAAAAAGATTTGAAAATATATACCATAGTTACTTTTATACTACTGTAATATTTGTTAAAAATAAAAATATTAATCTATTTTATAACATAAATAATAAATCCCATATTATTA